GACAGTCCAGTTTCTTTAGGAAATGATGACAGGACAGGTGAAGGACAGTTGATCAAGCCTTTGCATCCCTGATGGACTTTAGGGGAAGAGGCCTTCTTACACCACACAGAAAAAGCTGCTGCTGAACTGAAATGTTTTTCAGTCCTCAGGGAGCCTGTAGCATTCATTTTTTGTTGTTGTTGCTGAGGGCTCAGGCACGCTATCTGACATAAACCTCAGTGAAGGAGGTTTAAGCTCACCAGTTTAACCTCACAACCGAGGCAGCTCAGCACCTGTGCACGGATGGTTATAGTTGCACAGCTAACGAATAGTAAGCTGTTTTGCTACCAGCGGTCAGTCACATTCAATCTTGTGTAGCATTCCTAAATAAAACTACATTCATTTTCAAAATACCCAATCAAACATTTCACATCTTTCATCCATCTCTTGCATTGTTTTGTATGGGAAGAGTTGAGGTAACAGCTACAGAAATGGGTACAGAACATCCTTACAAATTTTTCTTGAAGTTACCTAGTAAAGAGGTCTTTCTACAGGAAATAAATGAAGCAACATTTTGAGCTTTCAGGTTCACTGGAGCTAGTTGTGGCCTGTAAAAATTTTATTTCCCATGAAAGTTGGGTTAGACTCAGAGGGATATGCAGATGTATGGTGGACTCCAGTGTGGAGTGCTGAACAGGCAGTGTTACGAATCAGCCTCAAAGATAGATACAAGATCATAGATAGATACAAGAAAATAATGCTGTTGATTTCAAATAAACTGTGTGTCAGTGTATCACTGTCCAGAAGAGTTGTGGGCAACCCGCAAATGGGTTCTTGCTGTACAATTCCAGCGAGCAATTGTGAGAATTGACTTGAAACTCTCACACATTGCTCTCTAAAATGCATCGCTACATGACTGATTGGAAAAAGATTAATTGTAAACTAAAAATGGGAAGACTCTTTTATACTACTTAAATTTTTTTTTTCCCCCATGAAGTCCCAATAGGACTTTATATTCTTCATGTAACTGGCTCATGGATCAGGCTAGCTGAAGGCTATTATTGCTGCCCTAATATTTTGCTCAGGATACATTTCACTGCACGTGGAATATCATCATTCCACCAGATGACTGCAGCAGGTAGTAAATATGCTTATGAAGCTGATGCAGCACAAACTTCAATTCATTCTCACGCTTTTGACTGATAGTGTTTGAGAAGGACTTGGGATTCATTGTGCTGCAGATGCACGACCCTCTCTCAGGGCATGCCAAGAGCAGCTGAAGTGTGAGTTTCTTGCTTTTCCTGACTTCAGAGCTGACCTACAGGGACTGCCCCCTACGGTGACAAGATAAACCACCATCTTCAGTTCTGGATTCATCTGCAGTGACTACCAGCAAGGGCACTAATTAATGGCACTTTGACTGTGTGAAGCCTGACAATTGCATATACAGCCGTTGTACAGTAATGAGTTCTAGCTACCACCAGCCCAGGCCAAATCTGAACTGGTGACCTGGCAATGAAAAGGCTCTGTAGCCCATTACCAATTCTGAAATCATTCAGGGCTTTGATAACTCTTGCATTTTTATTGGCAGCTGTCCGGTACTTCCTCCTCAGAGCTGCTGTGTCAGTGACTTAACCCTGAGTGTACATCAAAGCCTCATGGGGATGCCATTATGTACAGGATTTGACTGAATCAGATCTGATGCTCTAAGAGTGTTTTCCCTGATGCTGAACAGCTCTTCCTCCCTGCCTCAGCCTTTTTAGAGCCTCCTGCTTAATGGGTCTTGGCTCATGATTTCTTTTAATCTCTTGCGCTTTTGTGTTTTTCCTATCAGTGTGTAACATATTCCTAACTTTCAGGTTTTGAATAAACAGCATGGCATTCTTGCAGTTTCATGCCTTTTGTTTAGAGTAAGAAAGATAAACACAGCAAGCTTATTGAAAAATTCCAATTCCGGGCACAGCTGTTTTGCATGACATCATGCCTGTGGACTTCCAGTGCTGAAGGATCTGTGTAATAATGAACTTCAGTTTCCTGGATTAGAGGTAAACAAATAAGGGACAGTGCTCAGGTTTCAAAATACGCTCCTAAATGGAAACCAAAGCAACTCTTACTGAATGTGCAGACATGCAGCGTTAGTGCACATGCCATTTTCAGAGCCCAGCCGAGGAGCAGCCTGAATTTAACTAAATCACTGGGTCATTTAATTGTTGCCATTCAAAATTCTGTGGATTATAGTGAGATTTACACCACCCTGGCACACCTGTTACTTCAGGAAGTGTATGAAACAACCCTTGATAATTTGAAGAACAAGGAGACAAGCTAGGAAGAGGGTTTGACTAACCAAGACCAAGTGTCCTCTGAGCCTTCATATCAACCCAGAAGCTGATGGCTGAGTCCTCTAGCAAAAACTTCTCCCTTTACATCTGCTGGATCTGGAGGGGAAGAAAAAGCCTTTCCACCCATTTAAGAAGAATGAAGGAGAGATTGCAGGGAATTTGGTGTGAACAAATTTCACCTCTATCCCATGCTCATGAGTCACAGATTGCTGCCAAAGATGGTGAGACCGAGGATGTTACCCTTTTGAAAAACTGAGTGGCAATGCATTCTGCTTTTTCATACGGACATCTAATTGTTAGAGTTTGGAAATTTTTTCAGTGTCACTCTGTCATGTTGTGAGAAGAGGAAGGACTAAAAGAAAGATGTAGAATATAAAGTTAATAAGCTATTTCAAAAAATCAAGTCTGGCCTCCATTTGTCACTAACTGGTGGTTTGCTGAAGCAAGAAGTTCAGGATAGAATCGAATACCAGGTGACAGGATGGTTGGGAATGACTTCAGGCTGAATATTCAGCTTTGGGAATTATCTTTATGTCTTGTTCAGAGTGCTAAGTCACTTAAAGCCCAGATTATCTTCTCTGTTCTTTGTGGGAGTGTGTGCTACCTCTTTATGCTCTTCCTTTGTGTAAGGGAGTTGGCTGAAATTGCTGCTTAATCTACTTTTTTTTTCTTTGCTTAACAGTTTTGTAAATATTGTTAACTCTTTTTTTGCTGTCTTTGAGGAATACCATTGGCACAATCTATGTATTTTCCAGAATTATTTGGAGACCTAAGATGATTTGAGCTAGCAGATAATTAGAAAGGATTTTTAATTCAAACTACCAGTTTTTCTCAATGGAAAACAGCATCAGTTCACTTTTACCAACAGCAGATAGCATTCTTGCGCAAGTTATCTGTTTGCAATGTAAAACAAAGCTTTCTGAACATTATTTTTTGTATGTTCTGAAGCTTCTGGAAGTTTTTTAATGTTGTCTGAGACACAAAATGATTGATCCTCATGAGTACATTTTCAACATAAGAACCAAGTGTGCTTCAGCTGTAAGAGACCCTGTTTAATAATATAGAACATGTCCTGTTTGCTGAACATGACAGGCCAGGATTTGTTTTTTGTTTCTAGGCAAGGGGTTGGAGAAGGAGTTTTTACTGCATAGCGGAAGACTTACTCTGTAAGCACCTTCTCTTCAGTGCAGGCGGTTTACTACATGCTGAGATAAAATGCCATCACAGAACTAGGGGAGTCTGGGTACAACTGTACCAGCTTGGACAAGGGAAATCTGTGTCGGAGCATGAATTTGGTATTTCTTCTTCTTTGCCATCGAAAACCACAGCCAACACAAGAAGCACATCTAAGGAAAAGGGTCTCTACCAAGGATAAAACACCCGTCACATTAATCCTTATAGTCAGTCTCTGCTGTGGCTCTGGTGAGTGGCATAGCGCAGTGGACCAGGCTCACACAGCTGAATGGGGAACGCCGTGCAGAGGTGGTGATCCTGCTGTTTTCTCTGTCATGGTCCATGCACGCTTCTCCCCACCCCACTGCCTTGGGTTGTGTGCTCCTCAGCTCCGGCGGAGTCCTGGGCTTAGCGACATCTAAGCACAGTCTGTGCTCGGCTGTAAACAGGCTATCGTGGCATTTCATATGTGACATCTTTCTTGTCTGGAATCCCCTTCTAGCCATTCCCTGCTGTGCTGTTACAACTCTTATTGCACGTGGGGATGAGGTAGGGTTTGTTTATTTTGGTGCAGAAGTAGTAGCAGTGACCTCAGCAGCATTAAAGGAAAATCACTTCCCTAGGGCATGGTGTGTGAGACAGTCAGATATGCTGATCTCGTGGTATCACCCATGTAAGAGCTGATGAGATCACTGTTATGGCTTTGCGCTGAGTGCAAGCTTGGTTAAATCAGAACACGTACTCTGTTCGAGTGCCGGCTGGAGGTGAAAGTGAAAGCTTTATGGAGTGTTGGATTGAGTTTTTGGCAGCACCGTGTGCAGTGTGAAGGTGTAGAGGAACAGGCAGTGTCTTACCATGTTGTAGGGAGTGTGTCTGACTGCAAACTTAACTGTCACTAAATTATTTTCTTTCTTTCCTCAGAACAGTTTTGACCGGGCTTCTTGAAGAGCAACCGTTTTAGGATATTTTTCTGTAGAATAGCCTAAAATGAGGCTATGCCACCTAGTGGAAGTTAAAGCCACCTTGAAGGCCCTTCCTTTTTCTTTCTTGGTCCCCCTCACAGGCTCCAAATCAAACTGTGTTTACTTCCCAGCACCAGTTTGAGAAGATACAAGGATAAGGGGTCAAGTTTCTTAAAGAGCTTTTCCATGGAGCACATTTGTTTTCTGTATTACATTTGATCACATACTTGTTCACACGGTAGCTTTGCCTACTTGCGTTAGGGTACTGCTGATACAGTAACTTGAGTTACTTTTGAAAACCATTACATTTTTACTAAAGTGGTGGCGTAGCCTCATTGGTGATCCTATTTCCCTTTTAAGATAGGAGAGTATGGTCTCAGATATTAATTTGTCAGTGACTATCAGTAGAAGAGCAATGTGGGTTAGATTCTGAAATGAGAAAAGTTTCATCAAGGATTAATTAGCCCCTGCTTTGTCTTTTCCAAATGCAAATGGTGTCTTTTCTGTTTTCTTCTTGCATAATAAAACAACTGATATTCCCTCTTAGGAGCACCCCTTACTTGGGCAGCCATTTTTTGTTCTGCACCCCTGCCGGACTAATGAATTCATGTCTTCTGTACTGACCAGTTCACAGAAACAGAACAGGTGAGAGACAGTACTGTGCCTTGCAAGGCTTTATGCAATGCAGATAAAGTAAATCAGCTGGGAAGTGGAAATGGTCAAAACAACATCCTTTGTCCAAATAGAGTAAGATTCTGATTGTCACCTAAGGGCTGAAAGTTAGAATACATTTGATATAGATAAAGTGAAAGAATAACCCCATCTGAAGTTATTTTATGACTGTCAAGTGTGCCTGCAATTCAGAAGAGGTTGGGATAATATGTTTATGGTGCTTTTTTGTTGTTTTTTTTTTCCCCTAGACACATAAATTACATTGTATTGTGGCTCAGTACTGTAGGCCCAGTTGTGGGTCTAAATCTGCCCCTGAGTTATGCAAATCTAGCACCTAAGCAGAATACAAATGCTGATTCAGTTGAAAGGTAAGAGAAAATGAAATAACTTTTTTTCTCTCCCATCCTCCTATGAAATAAAAAAGATCAGATGGGTAACTGGCAAAAACATTATATCTCCTCCTTTGGAGCTCTTGGTTCAGTTTGTTTAAGACCCACCTTTCAATATTTTGCTTACATGGCTGCCTTATTGCCTTACTTTGCAATGAAAGTTTGTGCTGAGAGAGATGTGCTTTGCACATTGTTGATACCCTTCATGACTGTCAGAAGGTCCCTGATGTCCTGGGGTCTTTCTCAGGTGTGTAAAAGCATTTTATGGTGGTCCCTCCAGTACATGGTTGGTGGTGTGATCTAGCGTAACTCTGCTACAATGATTTGAATTTAATCTCTTCTCTTTTTTTCTGTTTGATGTCTCCACTTCAGACCTCTGAGCTGAAGGACAGCTGATGGTTAGCTGTAGTAAAGCTATTGCAGACTGCCCTAGGGATGAAATCAAAGGAATCCTTCCTGACTGGTAAGCAATGCAATGTGGAAAGATGACTGCTCATGGCTCTTTCTCTGGCAAGAACTTGCCTGGTTACAGTGGAAGACCTAAGAGTTGGCTGCAGTTGTGACAACTCTCAAGCACCACTAAGACCTGAACTCCCTCGTGATTGCATTGATCCTTTGAAGTCAGTTATTTCCTACCTCTGTTTTGCTGTGGTTATGGCCTTAGTAACACTGCATGCAAATGCACAAGCCTATGGTTCCTTGATACAGAGTTGAGATGCTGGGTTTGGATCTACTAAATTTACCTACTAAAAATCATGTCTCTAGAAAATCTGCACCATCTGTGAGGATATGTACAGCAAAATACTTGTAGGATGTGGTTTAAGCTTGTGGCAATCAGTGTATGGGCTGAGACTACTTCACCTAGGGACCACCTTCTCTGCCACAGCCTGATGCATGGACCATCCTTGTGTTCCACACCACACACAGAATATCCTAATCTGAGGACTGAATAGTACTTTGCTGAGAATATTTTGTGTACGTCATGCTTCAGGGAACAGACAGGATCAGGACTGTAAACAAACAGAGTACTTACAGTCTACATCTGACTAAGCATGTACAGTTCTAGAGTTCAAGGTCCCTCAGGCTATCATAGAAGAACATCTGGCTTTTCTGTGCTTCACTGCCTCCAAAGGAAGCTTTGCCATACCCTGTGGGAGTTACTGTTGTAGTCAATTAGTATTTCTCATTGTACTAGTGGTTGTTCACAGGTTTGGTCCCTATCCTGCAGTCTTTATGCAAGCCTCCCCTGACAGCTGTTGAATTTTGAGCAAGTAGGAATTGCATAGTAGTGCAATCAGTGAAAAACAGATTAGAAGTAACTTCCATACAAGTCATCTTGGATTCTCTCCCAATCACATTTTATTTGCAGTATAAACCAGATCACAAGTCCTGAGCAGTTGAGATGGAATTACAGATTTTACTTTATATGTTCAGCAATATGTCACTTGCATCCAGAGTCCAACGTATGCTGCATCAGAGTTGGAAATGTGAAATGCATCGGGTTTCATATTCTGGTTTTCAGATATTTTGATTGGTTGCATATTTTTCACTTACATCATATGCTACTGGTGGATTGAAATACAGTGCAGTCTTTAAAATTCCATTGGTGCAGAATTCTTTGCCAGCCATTTGGAATTAATAATGAAAACACATAATTTATCCCATTCTGGATCATAACAACCTGAAAAGCCATTTTTCCATGTAAGATTTATAAAATACAGCTTTCTGTTCATGTACCATGACAGTAGCTACATTGTCTTTTTTAACACTTTTGGGTAACATATGCTTGATAATTGCATCCATAGCCCATTTTCAAATTTAAGGGAGACTTACACAGGAGGAAAAACAAAAAAACAGATAACAGCAGTTTTAAGATCTGTTAAATGTTCATCCCTGCTCTGTGATCTTCATTTGTGATACACTGCAACAGAGGAGTAAAAGCAATATCGGCCATCCTCAGCTGCCCTGCATTGCTAAGCAGCTCTCTGTCAGCTTCTCCTGCCTCTATCCAGCATATTGGCACACTCACACTGTGCTGGCTAGCCCTTGCGACCTTTATTCCCAGTATAACTTAGAACTGGCCTCAGGTAGCTTTATTTAAACCAAGGTCTGAATTAGCTCCTGATGACCTTAGGATCAGAGAAGTGGAAAGGATTGATGGAGTTGTTCCCTATAAACCACAAGCACTGAATGCTGCATCAGCATATCTCAGGATTAGTTATGCTTCTTTTCTCAAAGCGTCACAGATGTTACCTGGTACTGCACTGAGGGTTGAATATACAGAAGAAATTCCACTTCTAAACAATAGAAATAGTAAACACAATCTTGAATACAGAATAGCTTTGGAATAACTTATAGCTGAAATGCTGGTTTTAGTGTTCTCATATACTGGGCAAGAGCTGTTCCTTGATAAAGGAGAAGAAAAGAGCCTGGAACAACTTTGAGTATTATTTTCAGTACTAGTTGTTAGACCTTGAGAAGATTCAACTGCTAAGATGCTGCCATGCAAAATTTATAAGCATAGTTTCATAGGCATTTCTTGGAGACCAGCTCTCCCTGTTTCTGTCCTGGAAGCAGAAACTTCAGTGCAACAGTATTATTCATAATAGGATTTGGGCAGTTGGGTTTCTTCACTGTAGGCAAGTCTGTGAAGTGTCATTGCTCTACTCAGAATGTCAGCACCTCATCTGTGTGACACTGTACGTCAGACAGCGTAACTTACAGATTGTAATTACAGACAAAAGAAAAATATGAAATAAGTCTGGGAGAATATACTCCAGTCACTTTCTCCACTCCATCAGCCTTCCATTGCACCTTAATCTTCTCTTCTTTTTTTCAAGAATTACAAGAAAAGTGGAATTTGTATGTAAATAAGAAATAAATACTTCTCTTTTACATGGAGGAATTCTCAACGCCCATTTCTTTCTACCTTAATTTATCATTTGTAAACAAAATTGAGTATTACTTGGACAGGACATTGCACATTGTACTAGACTTAAGATTTCCTCTGTCAGGGTCATCCCTAGGCACTTGTCTAATGGATGGCTGCACACAGCGGGATACTTCTTTGTCAATGTCCTGACAGTCACGCTCTAACTCCTAGACGTCCTCTCCCAGCAATCACTTTACCTTCTAGATATCTTATGACCATACATTCACTTGGCTGGACACTCAAATTGTTCCCA